TGCCTCTGGGGAATGTTAGCAGGGTTAGCATAGAGAGATGGATGTTCACTCTTATGGCTGAAAATGTGACCACCAAAATTTGACAGGAGCCACAAGCATGGGTAGACGAGGAGGGAAGGCTCAGTGATGCAGATTTTTCCATATGTGTAGAAGAAATTTATGATAGTTGGGTTTGTCAGCCAGGGGAATTGCAACTGGTAAAAGGCGGGTGTTGGAACACAAGTGAGAACTGCCATCTAGAGGAAGTGCCCCTGCCAAAAATCACGTTACACATGTAGGGAATGGGAAGGTCTGCTATCATTTAAACAATACCAATAATGTGTCAAGTGTCACCTTGGAAGGGTATATACATTGTGTAAAGATCTCACAAGTCACATGGTGCAGCAATGTCTCATTAAAGAGTATAAAATTGGGAAATTAAAATTGGCAAACTGTGCCCAACATTATCACTCAAAATGTAACCTAGTCAGGGGGAGATGTGTTTAACAACATAAAATTAGAGATTCAGCAATCAATGCATTGGAAGGCCTTGCTGAAGTCAGTAGAGGTCGTATGGAACACAGCTCAGGAAACAAGCAAGATGTCAAGTATCCTCAAATTAAGTGTGAATGAGGTTGGAAAAAGAGTTTAGAGCAGCAGAAGCCAATAACTGGTGGGATGACTTAATGTATGCTAACATGAGAACTCGAAGACAACACCTGGTCCTGCACCTAGTGGTAATCTGTGTGTTTTGTTTGGTAGGATGGTTGTGTGTATTTCTACAAAATTTACGGCAACGGATGTATATTCAAAATGCTTAGCAACAGTTGTTTCTGTTACAGCACAGATTATTGTGTATTCCGGGCCTAACATCTCACACCCATGTATGGAACATTAATTGGCAACATTATCTGGTGTCATATATAGGGACGTGTAGCCATTCTCGAGATATGTGGGGCATGGATTTGGGTTGTGTGTAAAGAGGCCACCAATAGCAGCCTAGCCCTGCTGGTTGACATCCTACGGCCCAAGTCATGTTTTCCCCACATGTATGGTAGTGGGCCCGCTACATAAAAGTAAATTGAGTGCTGAAGCCATCTCTGGTATCACTTACATAGGCATGCTGCGACAGCTAACACTGAACAATGTAAAGAGAGAGCTAGGAATAATCATCTAACTCATGGTCACCTGGATTTATTTGGGCATGACAGAGGAGGATGGCAGCTGCTGATGCTAGACCAGAAGTCCAAAGTGCAGGCAATGCTATGTTTATTGGGGTTAGTTTCAAGCAAGCAGCTCCATAGCTCTACATGCTGGCAGAGTATGTTCCCGGCTCTGATGTCACAGAGCATTTATCCCATGTCCCCCTTCCCAGCTCTGATGTTGCAGAACCTTGCCTGTGTCCCCATTCCCATTTCTCACCTCCTCCTTCTTAGCAAGCCCAAATATACCTGAAGTGCACACCCCTAGTCCCACCCCTTACAACTTATGGTCAAGTTCCGTTTTGGAGGGTAATGGGTCTGGAGTCTTCGTCCCACCTCTTTTGTATCCCAGGGGAAGGGTGAGGAGTGAGGTTTTGTTCTGGCCAAGGCCAGGATTTTCTTTGGCTTTTAGTGTTTCTTATGCCTCCGCTACCCATCCCCACTTGCTCTTCCTAACTGGTTGCTTGACCTTGGCTTGAGAGAGGAGCCAGGCAGCTGTCCAGTGTATGCTCATATATTACACTCCCAGCATACCCTGTAACACTTTTAACTTTATCTCTTACCTCTTTTCACCCCATCAGCTTGTGGGCAGGTGTAACAAACAATGTCTTTGTTCACACATATTAGTAAGGATATAAGAGAATGAAAAAGTCAAAGCCAAAATTCTATCCCCGGCTAACAAACAGGCCTATAGACTAGTACACACCAAGCAGGGGGTATTTTTCTGGAGACACACTGAGATGGAAAAAACGGACAACTTACATAATAAAGAACTGAAACAAGTTATGGGATAGTGTTGCACGTAAAATAAGAAAAGAAGGGGCTATGTAGGATGTAATATGTAGAAGGTATATTTCCTGCTTGTCTTGCAAGGAAAGAGAATAACCAGGTAAAAAGCTGAGCCAGCAACCTGATCAGGTAAATAAATGAGTTAGCAAACTAATCTTAGCACTTGGCAGAAAAGGTGTTCATACACTACAGTACACTGTTGCTATAATGAACCCTGGGGATCCAAGCCATTTGTTCTGTATAGCCAGGAGTTCATCATAGTAAGGTGGTGGTGGGGCTGTGGCGGGGGCAGAGTGAGCTCCTCTGGCCCCGGGGCCATGGCGGAGGGCAGCATGCTCCTCTGGGCCTGGGGCTGGAGGAGATTTCTGTCCCAGTTGTGGGGCAGGAGGAGCACTCTGCCCAGGCTGAGGCTCCAGGGCCTGTGAGCCCACTGCTGCAGCTCCGGGCTGGAGAAGCTGGCAGCCCTTAACTACAGCCCAACATTCCCTACTGTGAAGGGCATGATAGCGAGGCTCTACAGTATATAATGAATAACTTTGTAACAATGTATTTAAAGCGAGCACCTGAATGTGGGTGTGTGCTTGCATTTAACCCTATGCTGTGCCCTGTTTCGAGGGACTGATCACTCACTGATGCAGTGAACAAACAAACATAATTCTTCAGCTAAAGAGTCTGTCTGTGAACCTGAGCATTCTGGGTAGCAGGGAAAAGAACCAGTCAACATTAGAAGCTCTTATGTTTTCCACTGGCCTTCTGGGTGACTAGGCTTGTCACGTCACTCTCTGTGCCTCAGTTTACCTATCTGTAAAATTGGGATAATGATTTAGACTTCCAGGATTTCTGTTCAAGCATGTTCCCCACCCCAACTTGGAGCAGTCATTACAGGGAAAGTCCTTCTGACTCCCCATCACTCAGGGTTGGAGGAAGCATGCTCAGCCACTCTGTGGGGTGGTGCAAATGCTGTCTGGTCAGCACTAGAAGCTGTGAGAGGTTTGAGCATGCTCAATAAAGATGGAGCCATCAGAGATTTTAACGGTTAAACTCTAAGAGGTCTCTACTGAGCATGTTTAAACTGTGATTTTTCAATGGCTATTTGTAGCCAATTATGGGACAATTTTTATAGGGATGGTATAAGGGACATCCATGACACAAAGTCTACTCCTCTTCCAAAGATCAACTACCTACTTCAAAACATGGGCATGCTGGAAGATCTCAAAGAAAAAGTTTGCTCAATTTTTTTTTAACAAAGGCAAAACAATGTATTTTCCCCTACCTTCGTTCTTGGAAATGGCTGGACCTTTTTTACTCTAATTTTCCAGATTTGACAAGGGAAATTTCAGCTCAAACAATTAAATTTTGACAAGGTTATAAGCACCTGAAAATAGGGTATAATAATGGGAAGTGCTACCAGTCCTGCCTGTAATAAGGATTATTAGGTGAGGTTCAATGGCTTGTGTTATGCAGGAGGTCAGACTAGATGATCTTCATGGTCCCTTCTGGCCTTAAAAATCTCTGTATATGAAAAGTACACACCACAAGTCCTGGAATGTAGGAGCCAACGTGAAAAGCATAGAGGATAGATAGGAAGTTACACAGAGAAAGGTTCAGAAAGTCTGTCATGTATAAAGGCCATTTTAAAAGTGTGTATCCTTATTTATAGGAAATGGAAAGCAGACCATTTGGAAATTCCAGTTGTGCACTTGCTTTTGAAGACAATACTTAAGTGGTAAACCTGAACTACTAATGTAGTAATCCCTTTTCAAACCCACTTCAGAAACAGTACCGCTTCATTTAGGGCAAAATTCTGCTCCCAAATCTACAGTAAATCTTTCCGTTGCACATTCTGCACTCAGTCCCCATGCAAACTCTCACTGACCTCAATGGCAGCTCTGGGCAGAAAAATATGCACGACAGATCATGCTCTGCGGATCAGAGAGAATTTTGCCCTCAGTCCATTTACAAAGCCGAACTGCTCATGCACAAGCTTGCCTTGTGCATCTGGATGTAAATGGATGGAGCTGAACCATCAGAAATGCAAGCTTCTGTTACACAGTCTGATGAATCCAAGTTCCTAGTTAGACTAATGAGCACTGTACTAGGAAAAGATTAGGTACAATCCATTTATTTATCAGCATTTTCATTAATAAAATTACATGCGGAAAATAAAACAGAAAAGGTGACAAATAGGAGTGTTATGAAGGCTTTGATCTCGACTAGCGGTATGAAGACAGTTTGTGCTAGGCAGTGGAGAATCAGGCCCAATATGTTTCTGCTGCAGTATACTGACTGGTTATGCTGATTTTCAATACCGTAGCTGAAGATACCTCTACAGTATGGACCAAATTCTGCTCTTGGCTTTCTGTGGCATTTTTTCTGAGTAAAGACCTCAGAATTTATCCTTACATTTCCATCGTCTCTGACTCAGCATCATGCCAGATTAAAAACATTCCACTCAAAAGTAAAAAACAAAAACAAAATAGCCATGAAAATGGCTTCAACATTTGTATTGACAAGATTTTTGCAATGAAAGGCAAACTCTGTTAAATTAAGTCTGTTCTTTCCAGGGTCATCTTTTCAAGTGAATCAAAAACATTTCTATTTCAAGACTGTATGCTTAAGGTGCGCCATAGAAACATGAAGAAACGGCTATTTTATTTTCTCTTCATATACTAACTTTTTCTATTCTGATAATTAGAGCGGCCTTTGGAAATTACATCATTCATGTCAAGGGTTTTCTAACTGGATTTAAACACAATAAAGCAAAAAAGAGGAAATTTGGGTCTGGATATTTATAGCATCTTCCTATGGAACTTGAAGTCATGACCTCCTACTCCTTTCTTCACAACCTTAAAAGTTCAGCAAAGCACTTAAGGGTCAACATGTGGAACTCCCTTTACAGTGAACATGTTGAGGGTCCACATGTTGAGGGTCAGGCTGCTGCTACTGAGTCTGTCAGCTAAAACCAGGACCATTGTTTCCATGTCTGGAACCTCACTGATGGTTTGTTTTCTTGCTTTAGTTAGAACTTACCTATATCTCCCCAGCAGAAAGGGTTGATTCCACCTGTTGTACAGTTGTACACCATCATTGTTTTTGGTCTGGAAAATACATGATGTGAAGAATGAAGGAAATTTAAACATGTGGAAAGAAAACAGAAAAAAAAAATTATCCAGTTACCTTGAGGTGGGGCTTAAAATCATGGACAAGAGAATGGGAGCAAGAAATACTTTAACTGAAATATGGCAATTACGTCTCACTGTACTATTTCAGTTTATGGGACAGCTTTGTAATTTCACTGCCTTCAGTGGAGATAGTTAGGTACAAAGGAGAGTAGACTATCTCTATATAGTTTAATCCAAGCTAACTAGATAATAAATAATCAAACAAAACACATTCTAAAAATAAAAATATCTTACTTGTACATAGGGTCTTTCATCCCCAAATGCTTTAAATCTATACACAACATACAGCACTAATGAAATGCAGCTACATCTGTGGCGAAGCATGACAACCAAACAGCACAGTCGTGAGAGGAGGGCAAATGTTAGCCAAGGACACTAGGCCTCTTACTGATTTCAGTGGGAGTAGGTGCCTATCTTGCTTAGGTGCTTTTGAAAATTCCAACAGTTGCCTATCTGTAGGGTGACCATATTTCCCTATGCTGAATATGGGGCACCTGGTAAAATTACTCGTATTCTAGCGAGGTCAAAGGCGATCAATCAGAACTATGCAGTACAGATGTTCAAATTAACATCAAGTTGACTGAGCCCCCATTAAAAAGAAATACTGCGTAGCTGAATTATTTTTATTTACCTTCTTATCTTTAAGGCGTTAGGGTTCACACAGGGAGGGGCGACACACACACCCCATCCTCCTACACACACATGGGGAGAGATGACACACACACACTCCCGTATGTCTCTGTCACGACTGACCCTCCCCTCCCCTCCCCGCATGGTGCACTCCGCCCTCCATGCCTGGCTGGGCTCCTGGTATGGTTCTGCCTCTCCCAGTTCCTGGTGCCGTGTCTTCCTGAGGCAACACATGGGGGTGGGGGGGGGAAGGACACACACAAAGTCACATGCTCCCCCTCCCCAGATATCTGCCAGGGTTCACACCAGAATGTGGCCAGCAGCAGCCTTTCGGCACTGTGCGGGAGGGAAGGGACAGGAGCTGCTACCAACCACAGGGGAGGTGGAGGAGAGGAAAGGGATGACCTGGCCCATGTATTTGCAGAGCTCATCTCTTCTTTTCTCCCCCCTGACCCCTGTGGCTGGAAGCAGCTTGTCTCTTCCTGTCCACACAGTGTCGAAAGACAGCTAACACTTCCAGGCTGCTGCTGGACACCGACATAACCTAACCGCCTCCTGTCCACCCTGCTACAGCGTGGGCAGGAAGGGGTTAAGCCCTAAGGATGCATTGTGCACCAAGGCCCAGGAAACCTGACTGCAGGGGCTACAATAAGTGCATGTATAACAAACAACAAATCTTAATTTAACATACATGTGAAAGCCATTAGGCAAGAATACATCAAGCCACACAAAGCCTTATAATGAAGCATGAAAGTCAACAGCTCATAAAACGAGGACACTAAACAAGGTTCATCCTATATATAAATGCAAAATACAATTAAAAATGAAGATTAATCAAATCCAGGCAGTGAATCTAGGTAGTCTATGCAATCAATCAATAAATAACAGATTTGGCTTGAGATAAATTATCTATACATCAGTTATTAAACAAACTATGAAAACAATAAAGGAAAGTATTAATAAAAGCAGTTTTTTATTTACTGCAGAGTTTCTCTTAATGTGTTGTAACTCATTTGTCCAAGCACCAAGCCAAAGTCAGGGAGACACGATGTGCTTTAAAAATCATTTACTTGAAAGATGCCACGTTTGCTAGATCAAAAAAACCAGTGGTGACTTGGGGCAATTCTTGCATTTTCCCCAGTTTCCCCAAAATAATGTGTTTCATTTACCCAGATGGGAGAGAGAGAATCAAAACCTGGAATGAGGTTGCAAGTTCTGTGATAAAGTCCACATTTCTCTGATGTATTTCAAGGTAAGGTTTTCCTGTAGAATGTCACCTGATCAGAAATGATAGTGACCTTCTTGATCTCTGATTTTTTTTTTATTAAGCCATATAGCAGCACCACTAATAAACAAAGGCATGAAACACCCCAAAGGCTACTGGGTAGATAATAGAAATGAATGTTAGAAATGCTCAGACTCTCCCTTCAGATTTACATGCCACAAAATATCTCATTTCAACATGGAGTGGTTTTGCCAGCCAAATGAAGTCTGTAATGATAATCTGTAATTGCTTTTGAGTCCCACAGGCATTAAACAAGGGAACCACAGAAAAACCATAGTTAAATTACAGGGTAAGGAATTGTTTAATAAATTGCATCCTAGCCCACACTGTCAGCTGCAGATTATTGCATTTAGCAGTGTTATTGTGTAGAAATTACATTGGAGAAGACTATGCTATTCCATATTATATTTACCATGAGCCTGCTCATGACTGGCTATGCACAGGTGCACAAGGAGATGAAGAGGGTGCAATGAGTCTTCCTTCCAACTCCTTTTTGCCATGTAGCAAACGCAAGGACAGGGGGATTAGGCCTCTCCTTAGGGGTAGTGAGCGTGGGTAAGAAAGGGAACTGACCTGAGTTATAGTCCAGCTCTGCTACACAGTCTTCAGGCCTGAGTCTCAGTTACATTAAGGCCCTTTTGACATCATGCTGGCAGCGTATAGAGGCCATAAATGTAATTTATGCTTCCTTGAAGGCCTCTTATACTGTCCGAGTGGTGTAACAGGGCTTTAGCATCAATAAGAATCAAGCCAGCTGTGTAGCTGTGGGGATACATCACTTAACTTTTCTGTGCTTCAGTTTTCTCATCTGCAAGATAAATAGCAACATACTAAATGCTCCCTGTGGGCAGTGCATCTCTGCACCTTCCTACTGCCTTGAAGACCTCATCTAGTGCTACACTTCTGCTTAGAATAACACCAACTTGCTCCATGCCTGGGGTTACTCATTTCAGTCACCACCGTGAATATACTGGGTAAAGTTTTCAAAAGTGTCGAGATGAGTTTGGGTTCTACATCACTTAGGTGCTTTAAAAAAAACCCTCTTACCCATTTTGACAGGTTAGAGGTAAAACCTGACTATTTCCCCGGACATACATAAAGAGAATGTTTTTCAAAGCTGTCCAGCTGGTGTCAGTCACTGTTTAAATACATTCTATACTTACATTGATTATTTAAAGTGTTTCTTATTTCGTAAAATAAAAAGCACATCAAGTAAGCAGTTTATCTTTGTCCTACAACTTGCCATGCACTATCTAGGCTCTTACATAATGCCCATCATTATGGTATCTAACCTCCTCCCAAAATTATGAAATGTACATATAAACTAAATCTCTTTCTCTTTTCTGTGTTCCTTGCAAAGCATTACCTATTTGTTTTTAATTTTTGGTTGTGGTGTCACTGTGGGAAGGCTAGGTCAAAAAAGTGGGTACGGCATTGTGCTTTGAAGATACTGAAGTTCATGGTCATCCTGATCTGTTTGGAGAGTGAGTTCCAGGTTCATAAGCCAGTCATTGAGAACACGCTACCTTCTGTATTCATGAGTTTCACACTTGAGGTTGACAATTCTCTTGTTCCAGTGGAATGTGGTTGTCATAGGGCATTCAAGTCACACAGGGGTAAAGTGGTCACTCATGTAACGTGGGTGAATTCCACAGAGGGCTCTGAAGAGGAGGACTGAAATCTTACATTTCACCAGGTATTCAACAGGGAATCAGTCAGGAAAGTGGAGTGATGTGCTCTCAGCAGCCATGCATTGATGGGCACATGGGCTACTGTGATCTGAACCAGCATTTTAAATTCTTTGGTTTCATACTCAGATACAGAGAATTACAGGAATATGGCCTAATAGTCACAAATGCATGAATTGCCACAGTTAACTCCAAATCTGACAAGAGGAGGCCTAGTTTTCTTGCCAGGAGAAGATGGAAAAAGACTTTTTTCACTGCCATGGCTGGCATCCAGAAGCAGTGAGGAGATCGGGTGAATACTGAAGCAGTAGTGACTTAATCTGAGGACAAATGCCTTCAGTGAAGGGTGTTGTTATAGAGGTGAGGAGTTCTTGGAAGTGCTTCCTTCTCCCTTACCAAGATTCAGCTTCAGGAGACTGTTCTTCATTTAATTGCTGATTGCAACCAAGGCCTTGGATAGATGAGAAATGGTGTTGTTTTCAGCTGATGAGAAGGTAATGTAGGGCTGTGTGTTATCTGCTCATTGTTGGCATTGTAGTTCATGCTGATCAGTCTCCCTTGTGATTTCATATAGATGTTGAGTGGCCGAGAGAACAGATCTTTGAGGAACTCCAAAGGTGTGAGCTCTGCAGATGAAGGAGCAGAAATCAGTCATGCCTTTCTGGTTGCGATCTGAGCAGAATGACTGAAGTCATCGTGGCATGATCCTAGTAATCCCTGCTGCATGTCTGAAGCAGGACATCAGATGGACGGTATCATGGTCCAGCACTACAAGTGTAGATGAAGGGCCCTCGTCCATGGCTAAAGGATGTTCATCCATCAGTGCTAAGAGGACTCTCTCTGTTCCATATCTTGGCTTGAAGCTTGATTGGGAGGGGTCAAAGATATTGTTAGCACCTAGGAAGAGTTGAAGGAGACACCTGGAGAGCTTCTCAGTTAGGTTAGATACCTGCTGGTAGTTACAGAGGTTGATTATGTCAAGAGATGGCTTCTTAAGTATTTGCCAGATTATGACACACTATAGGGGGGTTGCAGGATTTTCCTCCTCAGTGAAGATATAGGTATCTCAGTTAGTAGGAGTCCCAGATGCTCTTGACACTCTTTGACGAGTCAATGAGAATTTAGATCAGAACCATAGGTGGTGGCTCAGTTTTTCTCCTGTATTTCTAGAACTTCCTGTTGTGAGCTGGGCTGGCTTCAGAGGAGGATGGTTTTGTGTTACGGTGGAAAAGGCCAATGTACAGTACATGGTGTCCCAGCAGCACCTCTCTGATGTTGGTGATGTTTTATGAGAAGTAGACTGATAGCTCTTTGCAACAGGAGATGGTGAGTTTTGGGGCTGAGTGAGAACATTCCCCATTAACACGACAATTCATGGTCCAGAATAGTTCAGTAGAGTATGATTTAACTACTGTTGCTGTGGTGAAGGAGAGGTGGAATTTTTTTGTTTGTTTGTTTCTTCCACAAGTAGTCCATAGATTCACAAGAATTCCTTGTACTGGTGTCTGTCTGCATCTGCCCAAGTTTTATGCCACACACATAAGAGCTCAGCTTCCTTCCACCTGCTGCTTTTGTTTCAGCACATCAAAGAAACAAAGGAGATCTGTAGAGGAGAAGGGCACTTTGGTTACAGAGGTGGCCAATGAGTTATCATAGTGATGGGTTAGATTTTCTATTCTGCGATCTTTTTTGGTGGTGAGGCATTATCTACAATAGTGTTGTGGAAATTAACTCAGTCCCTGAGCCTGAGGCCAACTGTTGTTATGGTTCCTTCTTGCCTGTACATTAGGTCAGTTTTGATCTCAGCCTGGGGGGAAGTTGTGGTCAGTCCAGGATAACGGCAGTTTCTTGTGTCCCCTGTATCCAAGCCAAGTCTAAAATCAAGCTAAAATATGACTGGCAGCATGTCCAGGTCCAAAGATGACTTGTCAAAAACAGAGAGTGGAAAATATACAGAAAAGGCTTGGGGCTATTGTATCTGAGTTGTTGTCAATATGGATGTGAAAGATCTCAGGATAATAAGTCTTGGGGACTTCATTAACATATCAGGCAGCAACTCAGGCAGTCCCTCTCGGAACCCTTTGCTCTTTGCAGTCTATAGATTAGCATAATGCACCATGTATAACTGGTCTTTGGATTTGCAGAATGACTGGATCCTCTCTCTATTTTTTCTTGGCCAGGTGGCTTCTCTTACATTTGGAATATGGTGACTGATACCCCTCCACGCTTGCCTTGTACAGGTCTAGGTTTGTGGTATACTGAGGTTTCAGTGAAGCAGGTCAGGACCTCTTGAGTATAAAGGACTTCCTGACAATTCACCTCACATTCATCAGCGGGAACATGATATCCTGATGTTTGTCTCCCCCCGTCGTAAGTTTGTACGAAATGGCTGTTGTATGACTGCATACAATTGGCAGCAAATTTATACCAATCTGTATTCGGGGTCCTGGTTTGCACTTCCTGTTTGCATTTCTTCCAGATAAGACTTGGATTGGGGAGAAGTGTTGGGTAATAATTGTGGCTGGTTTTGATAGAGACCTGGGTGTGAACCAATTGGCAAAGGTTCTCAATACCTTTGGGCATTATGCTGTTGCTATGGGAAGAAGCAACGCTGCTCAAACTCCACTCCAGAGTAGCAGAAAGGGGGTTTGCAAGTAGGAGCCATTTCTCCCTCCACTATTTTAGGTGCAGGCATTAGGCAGTTTGGGAATGATGGAAGGTGTAGTTTTCCTAGTCCCTGTGGTAAGACAGGCCCTTCTTTCTCCTGGAGGGGGAATGGGTTGGGGTTTCGAAGCTCACAGACCCAGGAAGTCTGGCTCTGGGGCTCTCTCTGCTTCCTGCTTTGCTGGTAAGACAGCACTCTATGGAGGGTGCTTCTCCCTGGTGGAGGGGAGTGGCATTTGTTTTTTGGACTTGGAGCCGTTGTGCTGTCATTTGCTTGTGCTGGTCACTCCTCTCCTTTGCCAGTCGCTGTTGGGTGGGAATGAGGAGAAAAATGAAACTGCAAAGTCTAAACTGCTTTTAAGGCTCATTTCTGGCTCCCCATATTCTGGCTCTTGTTTGTGGGTTTTGTTCAGCCTAGGCTCAAGGGATAAAGGATAAGACTGGCTTTCATATTTTCTTTCTTTTTTGTGTTGTATTGATTTCATACAATTACTTAGGCCTCTATAATAATCCATGAAGCTTACACCATAGTTCCCAATACACACAGATTTAAATGTCAGAACAAGAAGTTAAACGGGAAAAGATGTTAAATCTTTAATGTGCCTTATACATGTGCGTTTACCAGGCAAAGAACTGGGTTTTAATACCCCCCACATGAACCTGTAACATAATTACCTATTTAAATCACGCAATTTTTTTCAAAACAAAATATTCCATCTATGAAACACCACATCCATTTGGAAAACACCCGTATGAATAGCTGATTCAATGCACTGCTTGGGAAAGGGGGACAATTAAATGACTTTAACTTGACACCTCAAGAGAAGAACCACCTTGTGATTACAGTTCTGGAGTTTTAAAATTCCATTTATCTGGAAGAGCTGCCTTTTTAAAGAACTGTGTTATTTAATGGCTGTAACCATGTAGGGTAGGAAATACGAAAAAGAAGTAGAATTTTAAAGGTTCAGGACTGTAGTTAGCTGGAGAAAAGTTACTGCTGAAGAGAGAAACTAGGGTCTCCCATCTGTGCTTGCACTGCACAGAGGAACAGGCATTGGTCATAGCTTGTGAGTAAGGATCCCATCCGGCCAATGACTACAGGGAGAGCTCTCTACCTGCAGAGATGAAGTGAGAGGAAGTAAATCCTCAGCCCTCATATCCAAAAGCCATACTGAGGACAAAGTGTTGCTGGTATTTTCCAGTCCCTGCCCACAAAACAGGCTTTGCCATGTGAATTACAAAAACTCACAGTAGATTGGGCAGATGTTCAAAATATGACAGTGTGCCACCTGGCTCCGCTGGGCTCCTTGTGTTTGTGCCTCTCTCCCCCTTGAATATGCACTTGGACAGTTGCAATAATCCTGGGTGTGGATCTTTCTTGACTGGGGGTGGGGAGAAGTGGTGCTATGTCCCAAATGCCACCCACTTGCGGCACCATAATGAGACACCACTTACAGTAAATTGTGCAGATGCAAGTCTCCTTTCCTTTTTTACATAAGCATCGACGTTTAAATGATCATCAGTGGGCCTCTGAATTAATACCCCACTGAGATGAGTAGGACAGTTCAAAATCCTCAGAGCTGTTGTTCAAGGCTCTCTGCAGACTCTTCTCTGAATCAGTTATGACTTGTTTAAATGGGAGATTTTTCTAGTTACATTGGTATAATCATATCAGTAAAATTAAACTGCAAGCATTATACAAGTATAACACCTCTTCATATTAAACATCTGAGTGGCTTTTTCACCTTATCTTATACTGCTTCCAAAATGATATAAGCTAAATCAGAAAAGGGCACTTCTATATTGCAATAAGAATGTCCACATGGAGGCCTGGTCTATACTACATTGACATAAGTATGGAAAAATCCACAGCCCTGAGTGGTGTAGTTAAGCCAACTTAAGTCCTCATGTAGAATTCTTCCATTGACCTAGCTACTGCTTCTCAGGAAGGTGGATTACCTATGCCGATGGGAGAATCCCTCCCATTGTCATATGTAGAGTCGACAGTGAAGCACTGCTGCGGTCCAGCTGTTCTGTTGTAGCATGAACCCGGAGAGTTCTACTGGTATAAGTATAGCAATTTAAGGTCACACCCTACCTTAACTTCCCCATGTAGACAAGCCCTTACACACAATTCACATTTTAAAGGTTTTCTCTGCAACCATAACAGATGGAGACTTACTTTTTAAAAATGAAAGCTGATATTCTGCAGTGTAACACAGCTGCTTCAGAGAGGTGATGATGTGGCATATGGGTGTATATTGGCTTTTTCTAAGGGTTGCTCATGTCATATTCATGGCTTGCCCCGGCTGTAGGAGTCTGTGCCCAGTTGTAAGCTGGCTAATAAGGACAGTGTTATTAATGAGTATAACTGGAGGTGAGCTCTGCCTCATGAACTTAGTATACTAAGCAGGAGAGCACCAGTTAAATATAAGGGACATATTCTGAAAACTCATGTATTTACTCTGGCAAAACTCCCAATAAAATCTATAGGAGATTTTTGTGAGTAAGGATTTAGCCCATATAGAATCCAGAGGACACTCCTCAGATGGTTCTAACATTTTTCCCTCCTTGCCACCCCTCACCCCCACGGTCATATTTATTTGCCCTCTTGTTTACACACAGCCACCCTCTGAAACCCGTATTCCACCAATTTTCCTTAGGTTAAAGAGCGTCTAGAAGACTAGACAGCCTTTTCAACTTTTCAACACCATTCCCACTTTGATTAATTAATATTTTTACAGTTCTATGTATTCATGTGTATGTCCCATACTTTATAAGTGCTAAATAATGATCTTACTGACCAAAGGGATTCCTGCAGAGTGGCATAAGAAGCTCCTCCACATCCCAGGATATGTCTTCATGGCTTCTGTAGCACTTTTAGCCTTTACCACACCCAGGAAAGAAGATACTGAACTTGGGAATCAAATGCTGCTGTATCATGTAACCAACAAAAGCTGGATGATATTTGCTGTCCCATTAAAATCCATATTGTGCCATAATACCTTACCAGCAATCTGAGAAACAAGTGCTCATCCCTACCTGTGAACTGCTGTGTGCCACCCAGCCGCTAGGATGAGGTTGATGACGACATCTACTGGAATCAGATCTGCTACTGCATCATTATTGACTTTGACAGTTTGCAGAATCCCTTTACCAGCCTGTGTGACAGAGGGAGAGAGTCAGTGACAATATGCCATGACAGGATTTCCTTGGCCTAGAGAGGAGGCAGCATCACTTAGTCACTTTTCAAGCCCACTGTGCAACTCAGAAGATCAGTCTGCCTCTGTGGAGAGCCAGCGCTTTATATTCTTGTGCGGATCAAACTGTTTAGTGTTGTCAGAGGAAGTTGGAAATGTGATGCGCAAGTGTCAGTAGAAGTGTATAAAAAGGTAGTGGCCTTGTGTAACTCATGATGCTAAAAGAACATCCAGCAAGACAGACATTTTTATGTTTTGTGGTAAAATTTTCAAAAGCACCTAAATGACTTAGGAGCTTAAATTCCGTTTTCAAAAATCACATGGGAGCTTAAGTCCTATTGATTTTCAATGAAACATAGGCTCCTCAGTGCCTAAATGTAACATTTTTGAATGTGCTCAAATGACTTAGGGGCCTAAGTTCCATTCTCAAAAGCCTCGTAGGCATTTAGGAGCCCACGTCTCTTGAAAATCAATAAGCACTCTAGAAATGGCTCTTAAGTCACTTAAGTGCTTTTGAAAATTTTACCCCAATCTTTTGGATTTAGCTATACATCCATTCTGAAGTTTACCTTCCACGCTATGATTGGTTCCGAAAGTACCATCAGCGTGTGTGGTATTTAAACAAGACATGGTCCTTTCTCTGAGGGCTTACAGTTATAGGATATGTCTGCACTTCAACAACGCAATGTAATTCAGCTCAGGGTTACATATGTGAGCTCGCTTCAATCTCACTAGCTTGGGTCCTGGAACAGTGAAAGCACAGCTATGTGAGTTTCAGTGCTGGCTACCCAGGGTTCTAGGTGGCTTTGTACAGCCTGCACTGAAGGTCGCACTGCTGTTGCTTCACTGTTCTGGAACCCAAGCTAGCTAGATTAAAGCTAGTTCATGTGTGTCTACTGTGACAGGGTCAGGCCAGATGGCTACAGGAGAGTGATAGTAGGCAGATATATTAGCCCCAGGTTAAGTAGGTCCCTTTTCTCTGGGTAAGGTAACAGGGAAGGTTCCAGAACAATCAGGAACCTTCTGGAAAGAATTAAGGCAGACAGGCTGATTAGAAGACCTGCAACCTATCACGAAGCTGCTAGAATCAATTAAGGCAGGCTAATCAGGGCACCTGGGTTTAAAAAGGAGCTCACTTCAGTTTGTGGTGCTTGCGAGTAGCTGAGAGCAAGAGGTGCAAGAAGCTGAGGGTGAGAAGGCGTACTACTGGAAGAATGAGAAGTACAAGCATTATCAGACATCAGGAGGAAGGTCCTGTGGTGAGAATAAAGAAGGTGTTGGGAGGAGGCCATGGGAAAGTAGCCCAGGGAGTCGGAGCTGTCACACCGCTGTTCCAGGAGCCACTGTAGACAGCTGCGATCCACAGGGCCCTGGACTGGAACCGGAGTAGAGGGCGGGCCTGGGTTCCCTCCATCCCCCCAACTCCCTACTTGATACCGGAGGAGTTGAACTGGACTGTGGGTTCCACCAGAGGGGAGTTTCTCTGGCCTGTTCCCCAATCCACTAGGTGGATCAGCAGAGACTGCGGGGATTGTTCATCTTCTTTTCCCCATGCTGGCCCAGTGATGAGGCTAACAGTGAACGGCACATTTGAGCCACGAAAATGGACAAACTGAGGGCTGCCGTGAACCTCTGAGGGGAGAAAATCCGCCAATAAGCGCAGGACCCACCAAGGCAGAGGAGGAACTTTGTCACACTACTCAAGGTGCAGTCACGGTCTAGACACACTTTAAGTTAAGATGTAACTTTGAGTGCCAATGACAAATGCTGTGAAGAAGGGAGGAGGAAGTCAGAGCCATAAGATAATGGGCTTGATTTAGTTGGTAATGCACTTCTCGGGGGTTCCAAAATGATTTGTTTTTAATTGAGTGTTTGTGATGATGATTCTGTGCAAGGGAGATGAGGGTTTGGAGGCTTCATGGAAGAAGTCTTTTAAAGAGGGACTTGAAGGAGCAAGGGTAGCAGCATGGCAGACTGGATAAGCCAGGCCGTTTCAGAGTTGGGGGGGCACGAGACATGGAGGTGAAAGTGGGGGAAGGAAACTAAGAGAGTGTATTGGGCATGAGGCCTATGTGCAAATAGCTGAGTGAAAAGTTATGAGGATAAAGAGAGAAAGGCAGGAGTTAAGGAGTGTAATGCCTGGACTACAAGGACAAGGGACCTGAATTTGATGTAGAAGGCAATAGAAAAATCAGTGAACAGATCTGGAGAGCAAAGGATGCAGTAACATCAGCAGGAAAGAAAATGTTTCTGCACCCGCATTTTGGGCAGCTGTAAGAGACTAGGGAGGAGACGATTGGTGTTACGAGAGAAGATTTGGAACCAGTGTAATCAGTGATCTTCAAGACAGATTGAAGAGATTCAAGATAGTTATGTCCAAACTCCAAAGCTAACTGTGAAGAGATACAGAGAGATCTCACAAAACCGGGGTGACTGGGACACAAAGCAGCAGATGAAATTCAACACTGATAAGTGCAGAGTAATTCATGCTGGAAAAAATAATCCCAACTACACATATATAATGATGGGTTTTAAATTAGCTCAAGAAAGATCTTGGAATCACCTGAAAACTTCAGCTTAGTGTTCAGCAGTGGTCAAAAAAGCTAACAGAATACTAGGAACTATTAGGAAAGGGATAGAAAGTAAGACAGAAAATGTCATAAAGCATAATATAAATCTAAGGTGTACCCACACCTTGAATACGGTGTTCAGTTCCGGTCACCCCATCTCAAAAAGGATATGGTAGAACTGGAACAGGTTCAGAGAAGGACAACAAAGATGATCAAGGGTATGGAATGGCTTGCGTACAAGCAGAGATGAAAAAGATTAGGGCTTTTCATCTTAGAAAAAAGACTCAGAACAGGAATATGAAAGAAGTCTTTAAAATCATGAATGGTGTGGGAAAAGTGAATATAGATGTGTTATTTACCCTCTCCCACAATACAGAAACCAGAGGACACCCTGAAATTAATAGGCAGCAGGTTTAATACAAACAAGAGGGAGTACTGTTTCACATAATGTAGTTAACCCATGGAATTAATTGCCATGGGATGTTGTGAAGGCCAAAAGTATAACTGAGTTCAAAAAGGAAGTAGGTAAGTTCATGGAGGATAGGTCCATCAATGGCTATTAGCCAAGATGGTCAGGAACACAACTCCATGCTCAGGGTCACCCTAAACCTTTGACTGCAAGAAGCCAGGAGGGGAAGACAGGGCTGGATCATTCCAACTTCCCTGTTTTGAATATTCCCCTGGAAGCTCTGGTACTGGCCACTTTCAGAGACTGGATACTGGGCTACATGGACCATTGGTCTGACCCAGTATGACCATTCTTATCTTCCCCTATCACTCCTGAGCTGCCCATGCCTCTCAGGGCCTTTGTGTGGCTTTTTAGTGTCCATGTGTGTGGTGAATGACACACACTGTCAGGATCCAAAGGGGAGAGCAGAGTGCTGGTTAATGGTGAGCTGCGGGGAAAAGGGGAGCAATGAGCAAAAGGACAAGCTTTGATGGAAGCTGCCAGAAATCCTTTCCCCAACATCTCCTTCCCGCTAAGGCAGGAGTGGAGCTTGCACAGGAAGTGGGGGAGAGAGCAGAGATACTCAGCAGCCACAAGGTAGGGAGAGAGGGAAAGAGGATTTTGCAACATCACCTATTTATAAGCAATGTTCCATTGTGCTCATCACATCAGACTACTGTGATACAATTCTTTTTTGTCAGTCTGTAACTCCCTCGGATAATGAAGTAGCTCGCTAGTTGTGAAAGGTTGAGGACCACTGCTATAAACAAACAGAGCATGTCCAGCCCTGCATAATCACTTGTCTGAAATCTGGGCTGAAAAACCTTTGCTAGAATGACAGTTTTTAAAGTTTGTTCTTAGCCCATAAACAATGCATGTGTTTTGTGTCATTCTGATGCTTCTTAAAGATAGTAGAGTCACAAGAAAGTTGCAGATAAGGTATAATCATGTAAGCTCCCCCACTCAGCTCTGACAATGTACCTCAATCATATCCTGCAGCAACCTTCTGTTGTTCTAGTCTTGGGCCACAAAACAACTCTGCCGAAACACTTCAGTTCTAACTTACAACATCACCTTCTGCTAGCCCATTCCTAGGCTAAACACCACTGGCAGCGGCATGTAGAACATGTGTACCTACACTCCGCAGTGAAAAGCACACTGTATCCACGCTGTGGTGTGTAGTTACACGTGTCAGTGAAAGGTTCTGGCTGAGGGAAGACAGCGGGGAAAGGCTTCAGCTGTTCCCTGCTGCCAGAGCCTTTCACTGCAGCAAGGGAAGGCTCAGCCTCTCTCCACTGCCTCCCCCTCCTTCCCCCCCGCCAGAACCACCTCCGGTTGCTGGAGTCTTTCACTGCAGCAGGGAAAGGCTCCAGCAATGGGGAGGCAGTGGGACACTACACTGCTAAAAATAGTACTGTAGACAGGGCGGCACAACTTGGGCCAGTAGAGAGCTGTGTAGGGTATGTACTCAAGTACTTACCCACAGCCTTCAGCCAGGCCTCCACTTGACTCACCTAAGCCCTGCCTCACCAGCTACACGGCTACCAATACCTGGGCTGGGGAGCTATGCACATACGTACACTACCTACCACCCAAACTAGCATGCTGTGTAGATGCAACCTTAGTGCTCTCTTAAGAAGAAGCAGCCAATCATGTTGAATTTTGTGATGTGAACAAATGGTGATCACATACAGGTGAACGAACTCACGTTCACTTGTGCCCCCAATTACTACTTGAACCCACTAGAAGAGAGAGGCTGATGCATACTTATTTACCTATTTTAGTAGTTATGACGCGTTATAAACACACACTGTATTCATATTGATGGTCATATATATTTGAAGTAGATCTTTGATATATAAATACATATTAATATATAAAGAATTCAACAAATTGAATGCTGCACATTATTTGGTTCATTATATATGGTACACTATTTCTGT